ATATAAAAAGGTTAAAGAGAAGTACTTCCGTCGATCTACAAGGGGTATTAAATCGAATTCAGCTAGCAGTAGTTTCTGTGGGTAATTACGGACTGGATATATCCCACGTTTCCTAAAGTATACGTACTTACAAAATCTTCTTTGGATATTTTCTAATGCGGAAATATGTATATTATAATACGGATCCCATACTAACGTACAGTACTCCAAAATAGAGCGAACATAAGCGAAGTACAATAAAAACATGCAATCCGTATTTTTGAAATCTTTTGTAGTGCGTATGACAAAACCTAACATCTTCAGAGCTTTACAGTTAATATTATTAATGTGAGGTACGAACGACAGTCTAGAGTCCATAATGATACCTAAGTCTCTAAATTCAGTACAGTACAGTTTATGTTTATACGTCGAAAGAATGTCACGTAGAAATTAGTTTGATTTGAATGAGTTCGTCCCCTCAAAACAGAGGATCAAAACAATTAACTAGTAAGTTACAATCCACAAAATGTTCTGAATATCAATATTATAATTCTTATTAAATAAAGATGTTTGTATTTTCACATTTTCTGGAAAATGGGGTCACTCGTTCTTAATTTGATCAATAAAAAATATGAATGCTATGATGAATTACAAGTAAAAACTCATCATATTTTGCACATTTAGGTAGAATTTATTCGGCAAAATTTTGAGATAACGTCATCAATTTTAATGAACAGATTTATTTGGATTAGCAGTTTACCATGCTTACAATGACCTTAAAACGTCTGCAAGATTTTAAAGTATTCAGTTTTGCAATTCTTGATTAAAACAATAAAATAAATTCACGAATTCATTTTTTTTAATCACCCTGTATATGCAAATCCAAAAATATAAATGGAATGATAAATCACACCTACAGACTCATCATATTTTGCACATTTAAGATAGGATTTATTCGGCAAACTTTTGAACTGACGTCATTAATTTTTTGGAGGGGTTAAGTGAATATATTTTGTTTAAAAATTTATCATGCTTATCATAACCGTAAACCATCTGCAAGATTTAAAAGCATTCGATTTCGCAGATTCAAAATTAAATGGGAAAATGTTGTTTCATAATTTTGATTTTTTTTTTCAAAAATCTGGACGTTTCGGGTAAAAACTCAAATTTTGGTTAACGTTTTACCATGTACATGATATTCTTAATATGAATACAAAATTTCACAACAATCGGTCGGAGATTATCTGTCTAATAAAAATCCGGGACGGCAGACAGACGGACAGACGGACGACGAACTCGATTACAATACTTCCTTTGTTTACGCTCGGAAAGTAAAAAATTAATGAATAAATCAATTTATTCTATTGATTGAATCACGAACTGCACTGTAACTGAACTGTAAATTTTTAAGCAAAATATATATCAGTTTATCCCCCTCAAAGCATTGATTACGTCACCTCAAAATTTTACCGAATATATCCTAATCAAAATGTACAAAATATGATTGAGTCTATATATTTGTGATTATCATTGCATTAAAAGTTTTTAAATTTCTTCTACAGGGTGACTCACAAAAATTAATGAATGAGTTAATTTATTTTCTTGATTAAATCGGGGACGACTGCTATCATTAGTGTTACACTGCACGTATCCAAAGTGATAACGTGTCTTTGCAAAGATGTTGATGTACATCATCACAAGATTTTGTTAACGGAAAACTCATTCGAAACAAATGTGCAGCACGCTTCTTTACAATTATTTTAACATTACATACATATCACCATTTTCACTTATAAGGATTCTTACAAAAAAAAAAAATAAATAGAATTCGCATAATCAAATTTTATAATTTTTCGAAAAAGCTGGATTTGTTTTATTGTACTTCACGGCCAAGGGAAGTTCTATCGAAATAACCTTTGACCTTTTTTTTTGCTTATTTCTACCAAAATAATGACGCAGCCTAAAATTTTGCTAGGTAAATAATTTTTAAATTTTATTGCCTATTATGTATTAATATCTTTTGTACTTGTGGTTCATTAATCCGCCGTTATTCTTCCCAGACGTTTAAATTTACATATAAAATTTATCTGCTAATTCCCTTCAAAAATTTAATTACGTTATCTCAAAAGTTTGCTTTATCTAAATTGTATGTCTATTTAATATGAAAATTTTTAACCAACAAAATTATACAACAAAATTTTACTTAGAAACTACCAAACGATTTGCTTTCAACCTTATTACACAGTTATCGTTATCCTAACAGATCGACGATCAAGGTTTGTCTATTGTTCCCCACCAAAATTTTAATGACGTCATTTCTAAAGTTTGCTAAATAAATCATATTTAAAATGTGCAAAATCAAATGCGACTGTACTTGTGCTTTATTAATCAACCCACAGATTTTCATTTTAAAATTAATAAAACGGGACTTTTTTAAAAGTAATGTAAATTTTTTGTAGTTCTACTTTAAAACTGCCCTGATATATATTTTTTTTTCTAATTTCCTCACGTTATATCAAAATATCAAATTTTGTATAAATATAAAACTGAATTCGCGTAAAACTGAAATCCAAAAAATTGCCACATACAAAGTTTCATTATTAAGTCAAATGGGCAACTTTCCCCAACAGCGAATTATAACTGTTTCATAATTCCAGAAGAGAGAAATGAAAATTTGAAAGGCTCTGCACAAAATTAATTAATATCATCCGAACAAAGTCAATTTGATTAATTTTTATGTTTGGAACGTTTTCAAAACAACATGTTAAATCCTAAATTTACACTGTGTAAAAAATATATGTATTGCAGTTGGTTATATATTTATTTGACAGATGAGGCTTTAAATATGTATTGCAACAATATTATCCCGGCGCATCCGCCAATTTGTGTCGGCAAAAATATTTTACGATCTATATTTATGACTTTGTTATTATTTTTACTAATACAGCCGGAATTAAACTTTCATAGATTTTACTGTCCAGAGTGGTAATTTATAAAATTTAAAATACGTGTCAGTGTACTGGAAAATGGCAACAAAGCAATTAATTTCGAGCAAGGTTTAACTTCAGTCGGATATTTCTAGGCCTGTTGTCAAATTAATGTAATATTCGTCTGTTTAAAATTAAGTTTTAACCTCAAACTGATTTCACAATTACAAACATGTAAAATTTTGTTGCTTTAATAATTCTTGATTTTATAAAAAAATATATATGAATTTGAAGAAAATAATAGGAAAAAAAGTCGAAAACAGCTTTCTATGTCAGATGACTTTAAAAACAGGTTATTTGTTCAAAAGTTGAATGCGGAAGGGCACCATTTTGTTGAAATCTTTCCATTCAAATGGTCTAAATGGCTTGTCCAGATTTTATTTGTCACTAATAATAATCTAGTGCGAGCTTCCAAAAACAACACATAAGACCTAATCTGAATAATAAAAGTTTGACAGAAAAAACGGATCGCCATGTATGTACAAAGTGTACGATAAAGTGAAAAGTTTAAAAATTCCTAATTCTTCATTTTTTGAAATTCCTTTAATTACGCTTTTTTATTTTAATTGCAGTTTTTGCTAGTTGTTTTACGAAATAAATCCGAATCAGATCCACTACAGGACCTTCTTTTTTCCATTTTTCCTTTCAAACACTTTCCAAGTGTTTGCCTTAAGCGAAAGTTAACAAACAGCTGTAGGTTAATTTAAGCAAGCTCGCCACAATCGCGGCCGGATTTCGCCAAATTTGGCTTAACTTTAAAATTAACAAACTTTTCGACTGATCTACGGTAGCTTGAATGGATTCCATGTGTTCAGCGAGAAGGACGCGGCGGTCTGCAAATGCGAGTTTCAACTTGATCCGAGACTTTTAAGTTCGCCATCATCATGCAAATGTTAAGCGACGTCCATCATTTTTCGACCAAATCGCTACACTCATCCCGGCTCGAATATCGACAGAAATTTAATCCCTGGCAAACAAGATTCATTTCGGGCTTATGGCAGAATTATGCGACGAGCCCGGGAGGTCAAAAATGCCTACAAGAGGCCAAGTGCACTGAGCGTTGGTAATGCAAAGATTTCAAACGGATGTCATTTTCTTCGCCAGGAAAGGGGTGTAGTCGTGTAACCTCAACCAACGAACGAGGGCGGTTTCACATAATTTAACTGAGCGTCGCCCGCAATTTAAGAGGTTTCACCCAATGTTTTCTGCGATGAATTGGTGTGGCCTGAACCGAAAAACTCAACAAAAACGGCTTAAGCTTGGGAGCGGTGCGAACGATTTATTTTATCGAACGACGGCTGGGCCTTTTCAATTTTTTGCGGCGGGAATTTTGGCTTCGAATATCTTAGTTCGCTTTTTAAGGGGGAATTACCTATCCATATAATTTGGATATCCATCCTATAAAAATGGTTAGCTTTTTTCCAAGAAAAGATACGTAAAATTTGAAACATAGTAACGAAAATCACAGCTTTCTAGCATTTGTAGTTTTTATTATAAAAATATTTAAAATTTCGAACCGATGAAAAAACGCTACATCTGTTTTAATACATCTGGACGTAAAAAGTAAATTGGACCCCCAATACGTGCATCAATTTTAGTATTCCTCCTTTAGAATCAATCATGGCTAAACGGTTTTTAAATTATTATTACAACACATAAAGCTGTTCCTACGATCATTTCCATTGCAGTTTTGTATTGCACCATATTCCCTTATTTTACGACGTGGTTAAACGGAACAATGAAAAAGGTTTGTTTTTAAAGCAGATATAACCTGAGCATTGGCGGTTTGGACGTTATAGTATTGAAACATTATTTTTACGGTCAATAAAATAACCTCGGCTTTTGAGAGAAATATATCTATAAGGCGGTAAAACATAAGTCTAGATACAACTTTATCACGTACAAAAAACGTTACTGCCGGTTTAACATTACGGAAATAAAAATGATAATAAAAATCCATCTTCACCTGTTTGACAATAATTACGGCCACCACTCATCGCGGAAAGCCCCATTCTGAAAAGATTTATATTTCAGGGACCCAAATGGCGCCGTTCCAAATGCATCAGCGTCAGAAGCCAAGAACTCGCAAAAAAACCATGAAGAAGTGAACACGCCTTACTGGGACACGTATGATACCATCAACCAGCTCTACTTGGAATTAGGTGAGGCATGAACTCGTCAGTTTTCTTCTCTCGTTGCAAGCGTAATTGTTTAGCGACAGTTAAATTACGGTTAAAACGCGAACAAGTATTTTTCTAAATACGTGATAAATCTGGCTGACGAGGATCCTTACCGGAGAGGTTGTTCGAGCATTACCACCCACCGAAAGGCTCTAATTCTCAATTCTCAAACATTCAACTGCATGTGTAGAATGCAACACACTCAAATGTCATTACACAAGCAGCCTAATAAGTGTACAGGAATGGAATATTGGAACGACTCAAACGTATTCCTACAAAGAGACATTATGTTTGTCTGCGTCGTTTTACTTTAGGTTTCGCCTGACTCTTAACATCAAACGGTAAAAGTCATTAACACCTTTTGTTCATTCGCCTAGTCTACAGCGTAATGCTTTGATTTATTTCACGCGATATTTGTGAAAGGTTTCTCTGTACACAAACAGAAAGACCAGCACGGATTCCATTAGATTTTAACAAATGTAATCAAAGAAACGTATTGTTTGTTTTGTATGGATTTTTATGTTTTAGTAAAAATAATCTTAAATATTCTTTAATACTTTTTAAAGTTTTGAGACGAAAATCCTTGACACTATTGACACTAATACTCGACCACGTTCAATGAGAAGTAGGTATTCTACCAATAAAACCTCTTAAAAATTTCTGTAAATACTTTCATAGTTAGTAAAATATTTTTGATTAAAAATATTTATAAGACTATCGCAATTGTACATTTTATTAAATTTAATTAATTTAAATTTATTAGATCAGATTAGATCAGGTCATTGTGAGGCATTTAAAAAAAACTAAAAATTATATGCATTGTACCTACAGTAGTTATGCAGTGGGGTTTCTAGACCACTTTGACCTTAGTTTACCTGTAGACTAGCCTAGAACCCCCCTACTTTCTGTCGATCCACCCGAGTTCTGGGTACTTCATCCTCATTTCTTCGAAAACTCCCACCATTTTTCCAAAATCGCATAATGAAATCTGGCAATTTTTTAGATTTTTTAAGAAATAATTTTCAAACTGAATATTTTCAAAATCTTGTGCCAGAGCTATAAACATGCTCCATTTTTCAAGTCAGGCTCTCAAGATTTAGAACCAAAAATTTTTTGTGCATTTTTAAACAACTTTTTAAAATACTTAACTTTTTACTACGCGGCCGTTGTTAAAATTTCAACCTTTTTTCAACAATAATCTTCGAAAATTTGCTAAAATTTTTTTTTTACACTTAACATTTTCTCAGAATAGTGCAATTAAATATAAAACAATTTTTGAATTTAGAAAAAAAATGTTTAAATAGAATATATATCTAAAATTTCACTTCGGACTATAAACACGCTATGCTTCTCAAATCAACACCTCGAGAGCTATATCCAAGAATTTTTTGAGGTTTTTGGGCCACTTTTTCAAAAACTCAAATTTTCAGCACTTCCTCACGAAAATTTGGACTTCTTTTCAACAATTTTCGAACATTATCAAAAGAGATTTTTTAATAGATTTCGGCCTCAGTTCTTCAACATGTACTATTTTTTCAAAATCGTGCAATTAAATATGGCCATTTTTGGATTTTTGATAAAAAATGATATCCAAATCCAAACTTTCTAAAATCTTAATCCGAAACCATAAACACGCTATATTTCTTTTTTATAAAAATTTATTTTTCACCACTTCTCCGTAATGAAATTTTCAAATTTTTTTCACCCATCTTCGATTACCTAAAGAGATTTTTGTATAGATTACGAACTCCAGAAGTTACTTTCAGCCTCATTTCTTCAAAAATTCTTACTATTTTTAATTATAAAAAAAATATAACCTAATATTTCCAAAATCCCGCTTTTACGAAAATTTCAACCTTTTTGCGACCATCTTCTAAAATTGCCTAAAGAGATTTTTTATAGGTTTCGATCTCCAGAGGTTATTTTAACTTCAGTTCTTCGAAAATTTCTACCATATTCCAGATCTTCTATTGAAATTTGGCATTTTTTATTAAAAAAAAAAAAAAATCGGACTGAATATTTCTAAAATCTTGTTTCAGGATTATAAAGAGGCCACATTTCTCAATATTTGTCAATTCAGAACGTCAAAATCTATATCTAAAAAAGTTTTGTGAATCTTTAGACATCTTTTTAAAATACTTAACTTTTCACTTTCACGTTATGAAAATTTCAACTTTTTTTCAAGCATTTTCGAAAATTACCTAAAGATATTTTTTGCAGGTTTTGAACTCCAGAAGTTACTTTCGGCCCAATTTCTTCAAAAACCCTTAATATTTTCTTAGAATGACCCAATTAAATATGGCATTTTTTGACTATGACTTTTGAAAAAGAAAGCCTTACCTATAAATCGAATATATCTAAAATCTTGTGCCGGACTATGAACACCCTATGTTTCTCACATCAGCACGTCGAGAGCTACACCCGAGAATTTTTTGCAGATTTTTGGGCCATTTTTTCAAAAGCTCAATTTTTCACCACTCCGTCATGAAAATTTGGACTTTTTTCGACAATTTTCGAAAATTATGTTAACAAATTTTTTATAGATTTCGGACTCATTTCATCAAAATCTCTTACTATTTCCTCAGAAACGCAATTAAATATAACTGTTTTTAAATTTTTGATAAAAATTGATTTTCAAATCGAATATTTCTAAAATCTTAATCCGAAACCATAAACACGTTATATTTTCCGAATTAGCACGTTGATATCTATAAAAAATATTTTTTTGTGGATTTTTAGACAACTTTTATAAAAATTTATTTCTCACCACTCCTCAATTTTTTCATTTTCGAAAATTTCAACTTCAATTTTTTGAAAATTTGAAATATAGCAATTTTTTATTTAAAAAAACATGAATTTCGGACTGAATATTTCTAAAATCTTGTTTCAGGATTATAAATAGGCCATATTTCTCAATTCAGAATGTCAAGATCTATATCTAAATATTTTTTGAGAATTTTTAGGCAACGTTTTAAAAAATTTAAGTTTTCACTGCTCCTCTGTTACGAAATTTTCAAGCTTTTTCCAACCATCTTCGAAAATTACCTAAAGAAATTTTTGTGTAGTTTTCGAAATCCAAAAGTTACTTTGGGCTTCATTTCTTCGAAAACTCTTACCATTTTCTCAAAATCGTGCATTTAAAAATTGCGTTTTTATTTATTTTTTTTAATTGATTTTCTAAGCTCATGTTTCCAAAATCCCGCTTCGGGACCATAAACACGCGGATCTGCATGTCGGGATCTATATCCGAGATTTTTTTTGTAAATTTTCAGCCAATTTTTTTAATAACTCAATTTTTCCCTATTCCCCTCTTTCAAAAATTTCAACTTTTTTGCTACCATCTTTAAAAATTACCTACAGATATTTTTTATAGATCTAGATTTCCAGAAGTTATTTTCGAGAATTTTATATATTCTGTTTTTAGTTTTTTAAATGAAATTCTAAAACTTTACAGTTTTTAATGTGAAAAAACTGGAATATTTGAAGATTGTGATAATTAAAAATTATATATATAAACACTCAGTATACGAAAATTTAATTTCAGTTTATACCACCACAAAGCACGTGCCTTTATTTATTCTCCACAAAATATTGTAACACACATGTTAAAAATAACCCTACTTCGATTTTTTGTGAACCTTTCCATTGCTAAAAAATTTCAAGAAAATTCGAATAACGTGGCACTGTCGCATCGGTATTTCAAAAATGAAATATATTTATAAAGCCTGAGAAATCAAAATATGAAAAAATATATAGAATGTTTCATTTAAAAAAATCAAGTTATGTCACGTTTTAAAAACAGAACACTCTGTACAGTCAAAAATAATTTTAGAGCATAATCCTCGAAGAACCGTACAGCTTTGCCCAAGGCTTTTTCTTCTATTTGTAGTAATAATTGATGAGTAATTAACCCTGTATATTTTCAAACCGTAAACACTATACCTATTTCTCGAAGCACCACATCGAAATTGATATTTCAAGTACACTTTGTTGAGTGCTTTAAACAGCTTTGGATGAAATAATTCAATTATTTTTAAAAGTTATATAGTGGGGCTTCTAGGCCAGATTGACCTCAGTTCACCGGGTGTAGAACCCTCATGCGATTTCTTTTTCTTCAGTAGACCTTTTGAACCTTTTTGACTACAGTTGATCCCAAGGATCTTTTCAGTGATAAATTTGATTCGTTCTAAGTTCTAAATAAGTTACAAAAAGTGTTAAAGACAGAAAATAATTCCAACAAAGAATCAGCTCACTGCTGACCCGCTCAGGTTGCAGGATAATTAAATTATTTCTCCACTAATACCATTCAAAAAGCCAATTTCAGTTCAACCATACTTAGTGAATTTGTGGTTTTATATTGTTGGTAAACTGAGTTCTTTTTTTCGAAAACACAATCAATTTGTTTATAGTTTTCTAGCTATTTTGGCCGTTTATACTCGTAAATACATCATTTTAGATCCATTATCTGAATATACACGTTTTAGTGGATTCACTGTTCTATTACTGTAGGCTTTTCAAACAACAAAATGCTTCTAATAAAGAATGTTTATTATGAGAATTTTAAACTACGTAAAAGCTGTTTCTCCTGCCAACGTTCAATCTTCATGTCCCGTTCTGTGGATAATAATTTTTGTTAGCATGTAGTATTATTTTTTTTTATTTTTTTTTGTGCTCGTACGTCTGTAGGTACCCGTACGCATTTACTAACTGTGCTAAAGTAAAGCGCAAAAAACGGCCTCCCGGGACGGCGGAATCGTAAAAATTGCGCTAAATCCGGAGCATTTTTTGACGAGAAATTGTTAAAGAAAAAGCTTTTGGTCGTAAAAATCGAGTTTGGCTTTTTACGTGTATTTGTTCGGTGTAAGCTGGAAAAGCGCAAATAAAGCTCCTCCAGTTGGAATTTTTACTAATTAGCAATGTACAAAGTAAAGTTTTAATTAACTAATGCATACTGCGAAATTAGTCACTAAAACGGGGACTTA